ATTGACTAGTCTATTACTAATTGCTACTAACTAGTTGGTCTATTTCTTTTCATGGTTGACGGAAAACCACTCTAACCCTTCAGTTTGTACGATTCAGATTTTGTCGACCAAAAATGGCACTGGTCATGGTAATCTAGTATAGCGAAAGAGATTTTGACACACACACACTTCCTCAAACAGTCTGCAAACCTTCAGCTGGCGGTATTCCAGTTCAATGATTCCAAAAATACTATTTCATCAATTGTAAGSGAAAGCACATTGAAAGACCAAAGACGCGTATAATAACAGTGCAACAAGTGAATCCGAAAAATCTAAAGCATGCATACCAGCCAAAATGCTGAAGTGATAGAAGTCCCAAAATGTCAAGACTCGAAAACGTAATGGTTATATTGACTAACTGGAAAAAAACTGCGCTGTAAATCATGTAAAAATGATGTAAGTAATATTGACATGATTTTGGACACTGACATAATACATATCCACCACATTTCCACACTTTTTACATACATTTGATGGAAATATTATTTACACGATATTTCCATGATTTTGGACACTTACGGGATATTTACAACCTTTCTAATTATATTATAGATTGAATTTACATCATATTTCCATTAAATCAACAACCTTCAAGGAGCGCGATTTTTAATTTTCTAGTGACTGTGAGTATTTGTTTATGWGATACGATCGAATCGTCTCCTTGTAGACCCTCGGCCTGATCACAGGGTATTTGAAGGGCCATCTGAAAATTTTCTCTTGACCTCTATATGCCTCCACACAAGGAAATCAAAATGAGGTGAAGGCCCGAGTAAATTGTAAAACAAGCTAAGACAGCTAGGAGCTAGGGCTGTTTCTTACCTTAGTATTTGAAACATTCTTGATATACATCTTGCCATCATCATCCCTTGTGGTTTTCTGTTACTGGTTCCTAAAAGCAAGATAAATAACTTCAACTAATTATAAAAGGGAGGCTGTTAATTATGAACTGAAAACCCCCAGGTACCTCTCTTTGGTGAGTCACGAGGCCCCCGCTCAMGCGTTTGACAAAGACAACTGATARAATCTCCCACAAACGTATTACGCTTTGTGCAACTGCGGAGGGAGGAAATTATTGGACAGTGATCTTCTAATCATTACGTTATCCCTCGATTAATCCTCCCCCTCACTGTTTAATTTAATTTTTATCCACACATATTTTTTTCCGAAGCAAAATAACTGTAAAGTAAAGCTCGTTAAAGTTATCCAAAGCAGTTGTTTTAGCACAGAGATGTTTTTTTTCTTTCATTCATCTGTTCCTTTATTCATTTCATTCTTTTATTTCTCGTAACAGACCAGTCAGGCTAGTTTTTCATGTCTCTCTCAGAACCTCTCATTGATTTTAGTCTATGCATTCACTGATCTGTCCTTTACAACCGCTACCTCTTTCCGAGATTCACTAGAGCTGCCTTTAATGGAGAGGCCAGGAATTTAGTGGATTACTGAAGTGATTCCGTTTCACGCGCGATTAAAAAAAATAGTAATAATAATAATAATAATAAAATAAATAAATAATAGAATTCAGTCACGTATAGGCTACTTGGGTGARCTGAATGAAATCGAGCAACACATTTTGCCTAAGATATTTATAAAACTTCTTATTAGATATTCAGTGGCAAAAAATGACTCCAAACAGAATTTTCTCTGATAGGTTTTTAGTAGGTATGTATATACCCTTGTAATAAGTCCCGAGGTTTTTTGTTCTCCGCACTTTACGTCAAATTTATTATTTTGAATTCATTTTGTATGTAAAAATTTCAAAATAATAAATTTGACGTCAAGTGCGGAGAACTCAATACCTAGGGACGTATTTGAAAAGGGTGTAGATATATTTGATTACGCGGTGTTTTTGCGAGTTTTAAATAGTTATTTACTTTACCTAGTCTGAGCACAGAAAAGGGATCGAAAAAAGTGATTTTTTTTTACGCGTGCGTTATGACTTTCCCGTGTGTTGTTGTCATTTTYCCCCATTGTTTTGAAATAGGTGGGGGAAATTAGAGAGCCTTTATATACTAATCACTCAAGGAAGGCATTACTTTAAAAGACCCTTTTAGAACGGAATAAATTTGAATATAATAGTTTTGTTGTTTGTTCTAAGAACGGACGCTTCTCTGAGTGATCCCCTGATCCTTCCGGATCCGGTCAAGCGCATTAGAGATGTATATGTCTTACGTTTTTGAAAAGCGACACATCGGAAACATCATGTAACTGAAATATTGGCCTCATACAATGTGCTATGCTATCATATGTAAAAAAAACATGTAAATCCATATATATTTATAAAAAAAATATTGAGTGGTGCTAAAAAAAATGGGCATATTTATTTAATAACTTTAATTTTTCAAATTTCTGGAATCTTAGACAAAACAGAAATATACGAGCTTTGCTTACGAAATTTAATAGTATATCAAAAAAAGTAAACAGACAAAAAAAATTGCACAGGGACTGGAAGTAACCGACCGAGCCCTCGCAATTATGCGGTCAGTGGTATATTGATAAAAGCAAAATGGCGGACGGTGGCGTGTCTTGGCCTTCAGAGCTTGAGCTCAAATTAAACTTGAATGCTATCAAGAAATCCGATCAATTCGTAGTTAAYATTATTGACAGTGCATCTCAAGTCGCTCTTTATAAATTTAAGTCAGAAACTCAAGCATGGGTAAGTGTTTTGAGGCATTTTTCAAGGCACTTTGGTGATTATTGTTTTGTCAAATATTTTGTTCTCATTCATTTTCGTTCCTTTGTAAATTTTCTCAAAGATTTCAACTYGATCTTTTCTCTATTGCTGCTATTATTTAAAGTTGTTGTAAATGGAATCGTTTGAGCTATCAATAATACAATTTAACTGATGTTTTTCACTCTTAAAAACAGGGTATGTTGTGGAATGTCAAAAGTTAAATTTGTGTACTACTCAATATGACATTCGTCAACATCGTATTAATAATTTATTTGTGTCTTGTACCCAAATTAATCATCTTAGAAATTAAATTCATTTTAAAAGTCATTAAAAGACAATATTAGTCCAAAATGCTCGTTGAATACATTTCAAAAATATTGTACACTTGTAGATTATAAGCTTAATGTTTTAAACACTAATTTTACAACCAAAATAATGTAATATGTATTTTCTTATCTATTAAGGAAAAAACTGAGGTTGAAGGAGCATTATTTGTTTATATGAGGTAAAGTAAAGAACTATGACATTCTATTTAGGTATATCRTATTGTTGCTCAAAATTATGAATCTAAGTTATTTTGCTTTTCTTTACAGATCAAGTTTCCCCAAATATTCATTTTTTATTATGAACCGATTGAATATGAATAATACTGCAGAGCCYATAACAAGAGAAATAGAATTTAAACAACAGGATCCTTTCCTTCTATTTAGAAATAAAACAAGTAAGGGTTTACCTATTAATGCATTTTACTATTAAGTTATAGTGTAGGTACATGTATCGGTAGCTATTATTTTCAGAAAATGTTCTTGGGGAGAATAATGCATGGACAAATTAAACTGTGTGACAATACAGCATATATGCCAGGCAGTTTTCTATTGTTTTTTAAATAATAACATGCCCAGTACAAGTAGTGACTAAATTGTTCCCTAAATATAACTTAGATCAGTTATAGTGATGTATAAGAAGAGTAGAGTTATATTATAATTGCAAATTGATGGTTTAAAATCTCAAGCTTTTATTGGTTGCTAACATCTTCAGGAACAAATATTAAATTTACCTAAATGCAGTAATGATTGATAATTTTCAATATTAAAACAAATAATAATTATTATTACTTCATTAGGTGGAATTTATGGCATATGGTTTTATGACTCACAAGAGTGTAGCAGATTATCGAAACTTCTGATAAGGTTAGCTGAGAATTTTATTGAGATGTGTTTTCCTTTTGAAATATTATGTAATATTATTAAATGTTTATTTTATTTTATTTCAGTTTAAGTATGGAGGGACCACCAAGTGGTTCAGAGAGACCAAGCAGTAACCCTGAATTGAATGCAAAGGTGACAAAAAAGTCTACATGATCTTTTTCCACAAATTTGCTTTTGTTATGTATATTCAAATAGCCTCTCTCACAGGCATTCTTAGTCTCGCCACGAAAATTCACTCGCCACGAACGAAGGCTAGTATTCAAATCATTGCTGGAATAAATGAGAGATATTTAGGTTACCACTAAAAAAATCACCAAACATTGCTGGGTGGTCCAATATAGATTTTGTTTTGCTAAATACCTTAGTTAAACTTCATGTACCATGTTGATGCTCTATCCAACAACATCTAATATCACAAACAAAACAACTGTGGCTAAAAGGTGATAAAAAGATGGGATTGGCTAACAATGTTTCATAGTGCTCAATGGTCCAGCTTTTYCACTTTKTGCAGGGCYTTATATCYGTTAACCTCGTTTAATRATCTATCATTGTTGTYAGGTTGTATACAGGTATAGTAAACTGCTGATTTCTAACTTGCAGGCTCAAAYTCAATCAAATAACCAAGTTGATATTTTAAGTATGTTAACAAGTGCTCAAAAACAATTTGAAAAGGTATGTGTAACTAGAGTTCAAAGGTCATTCCAGCTAGTATACATGTAGGCTCCTATGCAATAGACTTCTTCTGAAATACAAAATAATAGTGCATTGTGGTCAAGCTTCAGTACGAACAATGCCATATTTGGCAGCAAGAGCAAAAGATGTTTGTACTGAACCTAGACCACAATGCAGTGCAAACTGCTATCTCAGAAAAGGCCTATTGGCACCCATTTTGTATATTGAATTATTGTATTTTGAAGTGTTTTCGCTCTTTCAGTTATTTTTCTTTTTTTTATCCTATTCCATGTCCATTTATTTATTCATTTTTCTTCTCATTTGCTCATTATTTCATTCATTTGTTAATATTACACATTCTCAAATGTTGTCCACCTTTCTCTGGTCATTCTGTCATTCAACAACCATATTGGGCTTAAATGTATGAAGTTATCCTTTACTTGTAGCAGTATAATGCGTATAACTAGTATCAGATGAAGCCTTGGCGTCTATTCCCTGACGATGCTGTAGACAGCGAAAGCTTGGAATCACTGACTTCAATAASAACTTACAAATAGGAGCCAAGGCTTCATTTGATACTATCCATATTTGGGCTTTCTGAAAGTAGAACATTTCCTTTTTGTCATTTTATATTTTCATTTTCTTTATTTCATTATTCATTTAATATCTTAATATAGAGAAGCACAGAAGAGACTACACCACTTGAACAGAAACCAGCATTTATAGAAAACCAGAAGCAACAGTTTTTACAGCAACATCAAGACCAAATGGACCAGTTAAAGCATCTAATGAGAGGAAACAATCAAACTAAAACCAAACAAAGAGCTTACTCTTCCCCTTCTCCCTATAAACCATCTAATKCAAGCACCAATGGACCATTCCCTCCTATCATATCAGAAAATGGCTTTGACAATCCTAAAAATAATGGTAGTCCAAAAGTATTTCCTGGACAGATGTTTGCTTCACCTGATCGCTCTGCAGTACCGCGAAAGGTACAATAATTATTAATAAATGTGATAAACTAGTGAAACTATCACAATCTACAAATAGATATGTTGTAATCAATTGACAGCTGGGATGAGGTTAATAGATTGGTTAAAATTTGGCAAAACCAAAAATCCAATCGAACTTCAAAATGTCAAGGTTGTGATGCAAGGGATTTTGCTGTAATCTTTAATTTTTTTAATACTCATTGCTAAATATTTCTTTTCATTGTAGCTCTTTCAAGGTGATAAACAGAAAGACAGTGTAAGTGCTAAAATGATTTTATCATCTATTTCCTTCCAACCCTCAWCAGCTTTTTTAAAGTAAWKKATTTCTTAACAGGATTCTCCTCAAAAACAACCAGACCAAAATGTTACCTTAGCTGCGTCCCTTATGTCTCCTATGGCTTTTAAGACGAGTAACAGTCCTATGGCTTCGTCATCAAAACCTGCCTCTCAGAAAATGGAAATTTCTCCCTTGACTCAGGATCAGTTGCTTCAGGCAATGACATATTTATTGAAGGTTAGTGTTGCCATTAGTATTTAGTATTCATTATTATTATAATTATTATTATTACTACATATTTAGTGAAGGTGAGTGTTGCTATAATGCACACCTGAAAAACACTGTCATATATAAATAGAACATCACTATTTATAGTATTCTTCGTTAATATTATTATTTTAAATGTTTTTGTCTTGTAGAATGACAGTGATTTTGTCAAGAAACTCCATGAGGCATATCTGCAAAGTCTTCATGAAATGCTACCAACATAAGCAAGATATAAAGTAGAGAGTAGAGTGCAAGCAATATACACTTATTTACATGTACATGTAGCAATTTTACAAAAATATTGTGCTACTTGAACTAATGAAAGCCAGGGCTGACAACCCAAGGCAATTCTCAAACCTTGAGATTGATAAATCTGCCGTTTTGTTTATAATTTTTGAGGTGTCACACTTAAAAAAACTGTCGCAGGCCATCAATATCAAAAATCAGGATCCATCCTTTTGTAAATATATACTTAAAAMATGAGAGTTTTGCTATTTCCTGGAAAAAAAAACAGGAGTCAGGAGATGCATCCCAAAGCCTTGAGACTCCCAGATTATATAGGAGAGTTGACAGGTCTGGAAAACAAAAGAACTAGCATAATTAGCATATTACTGTACTATTGTTACATGGAAGTATTGTTTGTACTCTAAATGTCTTGATTAGATGTTATGTGTAGTCCAGTTGTGTTTTAACCTTTGCCAGTTTTAGTTCATGCTCCATTGATATGGTATTCCAGATACAGTTGTTCAAAGCTTGATAAGATGATAGTGACTACTTGGATTGGGGAAGTATTGATTCCAATTTTCAGACACTTTTTGCAAAGAATTCTTTGTTTTAATTCCATCCATATCTACATGTATCTTCACAATCATTGATAGAAAACAAAGAATATTACTTCAATGGGGTTATAGYACAGGGTGAACTCTGTAAAAAAAATAATTAAATCAAGCTATGGACAACCTACTGACGATCATCAAGCTTATAGCATAGTCCCAATGGGCTGCCTGTGTCCTTGTGCTTTGCTTATACCCCTGGTCTCTCTTGTCTTCTTACCACAGGAATTCCATATTAMGTATTAACCAGAAAATATACAAGCTTTTTTAATCACTTTTTATAAACACTTTTTACCTCATCTTTGTTGTGTTTTAACTGGTTGTATTATATCATATTATGTTGAAGCTGCATGTGCATCCAAGAACCCSATTTTGAACAAATCAGAAATAAAAGAAACTATTTCAAATTAAAGTTCTTGGATGCATGTAGGCTTAATAAAAAACCTTGCTTGCTTACTTATAGTCTCCTCACAGCCATGTTTAGTTTTGGTAATGCGTAACAGAAGGTTGTGTTATTGAAACACAGCTGCGAGGAGACTAATGTACACTTACTACATTTCAAAATTACACAGACTTGGCACCAACTCATACAATACTGTATATATTGCTTAGATTTCTTGCTCAGTATGTCCATGCACAGCATGTACAATGTRTTAGAAACTATATAGTGTATCAGTGCTATATCTTATTCACTGAAAAGTAAGAAGTTTGATTGACAGGCATGAAAATGTTGGAAGAATTGAATAATTTGTCAAGTTTTTGTGATTTTGATACAAATAAGTAGCTTCTGGAAAAGATATGTTAATGCCTAATAAAAATGCTTAATGGTAGTGCTATTGCCATATGTTGTCCCTTCCAGTAAACTTGAATGTCAACCTTCTTTGTTTATGTTATTTTAATTGAGCATGCCGACATGACAGAAAATGGCACAATCACATATTGGGTCACAGAACATTTATAATATTGTAAGGACCGGCAGATTGCAAGGGTATCCAATGTGTACTATCCAAACACTTCACTGGCTAAATCGGTAGCAATATCAATCCAATTGTAGCAAAACCCAGAGCTTTCASTTAAATCACARAAGCTGACAGACACCAATATTTTCCAAAGCAGTTCAAGAATGGRAAAAAAAACATTCCATCAGTTCTATTCATTGAGTGAATCCTAAGCTTTCAGGATAAGACATACGAGACAAAATATAGTCAACTCTCACCTTACKGACACCCCGCTATAACAGAAACCTCACCCCTGGCRGAAAATACAAACAAATGAATAACTCTCTTTACTATGGACTCTCACTACTGCGGCCACTAAATTACGGTCAAGAGGGTGTCYGTAATAGCGATAGTTGGCTGTAACCCTCAAATTGTTATGCAACATTCTCGCTGTTAAATTTTGCGTTTCTCATTTTTCACACTGCACCAGYGCAGCTGTGTAGCAAGAACATGCACACACAAAAAAGGACATGAAAAGTGATAATCGCTGATTACAAACAATTGTGCATAATAAGCTGAGATTTTGTATCAATGTTTATACTCTGCCTTCCCTCATTTCAAATTTGCAAAATAAGCATTTATGACTAATTCTATTATTTATTAAAAAGTCACAAAACTTACATAAGTCATAATGTTTCTGTAACTGCTAATGAACAGTTAAAGGTACAGAATATTTGAAAAAATAAATCTATAAGAGAAAAAGGTATTTAATGTACAATGTTCAGATTATCATAGCTGGGCAAAATATCTTTCCACTAAGACACTCACATTTTACTTATAATATGCTAAAAAAGATCACATCCTTGTAATGTTTAAGAAATATTTTACATGTTTAGATGGTCTAGGAAAGGAATTGGGGCTTAAAATATTTCAAGACGTTTTTGATCAACTAAGAGGCATACATRTAACATAATCTTTWTCTTGAGGACCTAGAGGTCACACTRTKTTTTTTTCACAAGTGAGATATTCAGCTTTGTAAGAAAATGCACTTGTATTATGATCCTATGATCAGTTGCTGGATGGACTAAAGCACTTTGAATTACATACAAATACAGTAAAATATACTGCAAATATTCAATAGTTGCTATAGGTTTGATGTGCCAAATAGAACACCTGACAGTATGAATCAGTCCTTTTAAAAAGTGTACCTGCCAACATGAAGTTTGACAAGCAAATTGTAATCATACAGTCTACTGTACCTATAAACCAAATCCCAATACAGTAAAAGTCGCAAAAAAATCCTGAAATATTTCAGCCAAAATAATGATTCTATCAACTGTTATTATAACATGTATTTTCTGCAGTTTTTAGCTCCACAGAAACATGGAACAGGTTTGGGTTTTGACTTGGATTTTGATGATGAGCCAGCTTCTGTGTACATCAGGTAATCAAATGTGAGTTCTTCGCCTGCTTTGATGTCACGCCTTGCAAAAAAGGCAATCTGTGGCATTTGAGGATCTAAGGTTTCTATCCATACACCATAAACATTGAGGTTTGGATCGCACTAAAAATAATAAATTCACAATGATAAATATAGATATAATGACACTGATGAGGAAATGATTGATTTACATCATGAAAGAAGTAAAATAGATGATATAATTGCATTGATATGAACTATATTACAACAGGGTCCATGCTACATTTTCACTAAACATTTTCAAGGACTGTTTTTGAATGTTTCTTGGTGTTYGTGAATGTTTCCGGTGACAATTTTCAAAAATAGCCACATTCAATCCAAAATGTCAATTTTATCAGATTCAAGGAGTTTAGAAGTTTTAGCGATTTTCCCCATTTTCAAGGGCATTTCGAGCGCCCTTGAAAACGAGTTTTCATTTCCAGGACTTTCCAGGAGTAGCGCGAACCCTGTTAGAAATGAATGGATGGGCAGATGATTACATGTTGAATGCTTGAATGAATGAATAAATTAATGATTGAAATAATGCATGTGAATAAACAGTTGAGAGTTTGAGTAAATTATCATTAACCTAACATCTTTTACTGCAAACAACATCTAAAAAGGCCAGATTCTATCTTTCTACCATATTTCTGTCTTTTAAATGACTTGATATGAGAATGCATTACTGTAGAAAATAATGCACAAATCAGTCACTTTACTTACTGAATGATTGATAAAATGGGAAATGTTGCCATAAGTTTTGGCATCAATAGTATAAGCAGCATAGTCATCGTTATAGTCTAAATCAAACAGATACGTCATCCCAACATGGTCGTATAATTTCCCTCTTTCTTCGGCTTCTTCACTGGTCAGTACCTCTCCAACATATTCAGTTACAAACTGATTCTTTAGTATGGGATCCATTGTTTTTACTCCCCATCCACAGCCATTGGGAGTTCTAAATATCGTCACCTAGATAAGGAAGAGGCAAGAGTTTATTATTACAAAACAAGTTAGTATCATTACATTTAATCTCCCATGTACAGCAATATGCAGAAATTGTGATCTTTTTTGCTCATATTTCAAGTATACAGCAATATGCAAAAAAATATGATCTTTTTTACTCATATTTCAAGTATAT